AAAGTGAACTCAAGGCCAGCCTGAACTGCATAGTGAGACCCTGTCTGAAAAAGACAAAACAAAAATAAAAACAAAAACAATGTACTTAATGCAGCAAATTTTTTTTCTATTTTTTTCACTCAGAATAGCGTCAGTATTTTTTCACATAATTAGAAATTTCACATAATTAGAAAAGACTTTGTAAATTCTGTCATATGGGTGGGCCGTGTGGCTCAGTGGTAGAGTGTGCACCTCACTCGTGGGAGGCCCTGTGTTTGAGACCCAGTTTTGAAAACAAAGACCAGAATAGAAGGAAGCCTGTTTAATATCCCTTTAGGTTCCTGAACATAATTTACTAAATTATCTGTTGCTGAATGCTTAAGTTTATTGCAATATGCTAGATGGTAGTGAACTTTATTTCTGTATAAGTCTGTTTCTGTTTCAGTTTGATTTTTTTGTTTGTCTTTTGAGACAGAGTCTCACTAGGTAGTTCAGATTGTCCTTGACTCACTGCGTAGCCCAGGGCAGCCTCAAACTCCTGGCGGACCGCTTGCCCCAGCCACCCAGGCATGCGTCACTTCCACTGGTGGTGCTTGCTTTTGAGACAGAATTGCCTTGAACTCACTATGTAGCCTGGGCTGGCTTTGAACTTGCAGCAATCCTCTTGCTTCAGCCTCCAGAGTTCTGGGATTCCAGGCGATACCCACCACCCAGGGCTCTCCTCTTAGGAAACTTCTGAAGGTCCTCAGCTCTCGGAGGTGGTGAGTGAGCCAGCATTTCAGCAAATCTGACTAATGACTGGACAGTGGCCAGATTAAGTATCTAGTATATTTTTAGCTACCACGGAAAATAAGAATTTTTAAATTGACATTATTCTATTAGTGCTTTGGTCCTGCTAAACTTTCCACATGTTCTTGGTTGCTGAATAGGAATTCCTGAGGCTGACTTGAAGCGTAGTGTGTGTGATGCCAGCGTGTCTTTCCTGCAGTGTTCTACAGACCCTGCGAACACAGAGTGGCACCCACCTTGCTCCCGGCGCTCAGGATGTTGAGACGTGAGGGTCGCTTGAATCCCAGCATTGTGGGCCAGCCTGTGCCACATAGCGAGGCTCCTGTCTCCTGAAAACCTAACAAAACAAAACCAAGTCAGAGCCGCCCCGCCCCAGTACTGGGGATTGAACCCAGGGCCTTTACACTGAGCGACATCCCCAGCCCCTTTTTATTTCCATCATGAGACAGTCTTGTTAAGTCACTGCATTTTCAGACTGGGCTCAGACTTCAACAGTCTTCCTGCCTCAGCCTTCCAGAGTATGGGAATTACAGGTGTGTGTCACCCTGGCTGGTAGAAACTCTTGATCTGTGTAGACACAGGGCTTCATATGCCTGGATTCCACTCCCTCACATTGTCTGTGGGGAGATGGTGTGTAGTTCTTGTTAGATTTCCGAGTTTTCTGCCCCAGAACAAAACCACCTGGAGAATCCCACACGCTCCCCAAGCCTGTGAGGGCTGCACTTGACACCTGTTCTCTGTTTCAGGAGAAACAGCTGCTCTAAGAATTTAGATTTCCTCTGTGATCAGCAGTGTGAAAGGGTGTCCTTGTACCACTGAGAGCCATGCGTGGGCAGCAGGGATGATTCTACAGAATCCGGCCCTGTGCCTGCCACATGCCATCACTGAAAAGTGCTATGGAGTTGCCACATCCTTGGAAAGGATGGAGTATTCACTTCATTACTCTCAGCTGCTTGCCTGGTAGATACTTTATTTAGGCTCTTTTCATTTTTCTGTTACTGTTTTTTGAGGCAGGGTCTCACTGTATAGCCCACGCTGGCCCTCAAACTTGTGACAATCCTCCTGCCTCAGCCTCCTGAGTGCTGGGATTTCAGGCATGTGCAGCATGCCTGGTAATTTATGCTATTTAGGGGAAAGTAACCGAGGTCCTTGGCAGTAGCCTGGACCACATAGTTTCTCAGAATTATAGAAGCCTTTATCTGGGTGGAGGATTGAGATCCATCACGAATGATCTGGGTTTCTGCCCCCCTATGGTGCGAAATGACACTTGTGGTTTCTGGAGAGGTGATGCGGGGAAGTTCCTTCCAGTCTCCTCGTCTGGAGAGGGTCTGGTGCTGCTGCTGTGCTCCAGACATTTACACTCCGAAGCTTATTTTCCATCATGTTTCATAAGAGCATCATTTTGTGGCGTATTCTGCCCAGGGACACAGCTGTGTGCCACAGAGAGGCAGAGGAGATGTGGGAGCCACAGGACCGAGCCCTGGGACAGGGCGCCAGGGACGCAGGTGAGGGTTGGAGGGAAGTGAGCTCACCTGGATGCGGGCACTTCTCCTTGGAGGAGGGATTTGTTGATGAGTTTATTCAGAATTACAGGAAGATTTTTTTGAGACAGCATCTTGCTATGTAGCCCAGGCTGGCCTCAGACTCACCAGGATGCTCTTGGGTCAGCCTAGTGCTTACAGGTGTGCGTCACTATGCTGGGGTTTTTTTTCCCCCCATTTTGAGACAGGGTCTGGCTGTGTTTGTAAATCACCCAGGCTGGCCTTGAATTTCTAATTCTCCTGCCTCAGCTTCCCGAGGTAGCTGAAATTACACGTGTCCCCTGGTCCGAGGAGACAGGTGATTTTATATTTTTCTTTTTTTTTTTTTTTTTTCCGGTACCAGGAATCAAACTCATGACGTCGTGCTTGTCAGGCAGGCACTGTGCCACTGAGCTAAATCCCCAGCCCCGATTTTATATTTTTCCAGCCCCACTCTCTGGACTGGGATTGAATCCAGAGTCTTGCACTTACTAGACAAGTGCTCGGGGCTGGGGATTTAGCTCAGCGGCAAAAGCGCCTGCCTGGCAAGTGCAAGGTCGTGAGTTTGGTTCCCGGTACCGGAGAAAAACCAAAAAAAAAAAAAAAAAGACAAGTGCTCTACTGCTCTACTTCCAGGTTCTTTCTCTCTTTCCCTCTCCCTCTCTTTCTCTGAGACAGGGTCTCACTCACTGTATGCCAGACTGGCTTTGAGATTGCTATGTAAACCAGGCTGGCCTTGAATTTGTGGTGATCATCCTGCCTCAGCCTGAGTGCTGGGATCACAGGTGTGTGTGGCTGAACTTTTTTTTTTTTAAATTTTGAGACAGGGTCTCACTAAGTTCCCTAGGCTGGCCCCACACTTTCAGTCCGTCTGTCTAAATTGCCCGAATCACTGCACCCAGCATTTTTTTCCATTTTTTGCTTTTCTCTAGCAGGAGGGTTATTCAAAATGACCAATTCTGCTACTGCTGGAAATGAACGTTTGATATTCTTTTTATTTTGTTTATTTATTTGTCATGGTGCTAGGGATCTAGCATGCTGAGAAAGTGTTATATCACCAAGCCACACCCCCAACTTGTGTTCGTGTTTGTTTCTTGTGTTTTGAGACAGGGCCTCACCGCGTAGTCAGGCTGGCTGTGAACTCACAGGGATCCTTTTGCCTTGGCCTCCCCAGTGCTGGGATTACAGGCCTGTGCCACTATGCCAGGCCTCTCTAGTTATTTCTGCTTATTGTCCATTAAACGTGTTGTCACCTAAGTCTTGGGCTAAGATCATCGAGTCCCTGAGTGCAGAGATGGAAACCAGTGGCCACAACAGTAGAGGTGAAAAGCTATGCGGTGTTCCCTCAAGTGCAGCTCTTCTGAGTTCCTGGGTTTGGTATTCAGAGTCAAGGTTAGTTCCCGGCACTATCATTAACCTTGATAGTATTATAGGCAGCCACGTTATTTAGAACTACTTAGAACTATTACAGGCTGGGCCCTGAAGAGGTCAATGCAGAACACTACTGTGGCTGGAGGTATATTCACTGAAGGCGAGGCTGTGCACCCACATACATCCCCGAGGGGTGAGTAGCTATGATTGATATTCTAAATAGGCATCTGTCTCCTTGGGTGGAGGTCCCAAATCTCCTTAACCCTGCCCTTCCAGGAAAGTCCCTGTCCAGCCCATCTGCACTTGTTACGTGACTTGTTTCCCCATTGGATCCCCATTTAATCAATATTACCCAAGCGACTATAGGCGTAATCTTATTGGTTGACCGTAGTTTTGTCCCACCTTACACCTACCATGTGGTTTTCCATTGGATCAGTGTTACCTAAGTGACTAGTAATCTTGTTGATTTTGGTTCTGGCCCACCTTAGACACATCACACTTCATGGTTTTGCTGTATAAACTTCCTTGAGAAGCGGAGTCCCCAGCAACCTGCTAGGGACGCCTTTAGTCTCTTAGAAGCTTTTCTTTCTCTCAATAAATACTTCCTACTCTTAAAACAAAACAAAACAAAACAAAAAACGGTCCTACTCTTAACCTCTTTCTTGTTCCTAGAATTCATTCTTTGATTTTAGAAAACACAAACTCATATCAGACATCATAGCAGGCTAGGAGTTACATTTCCTTTATTTTATTAAGAAGTCCTATATCATCCTTGTATCAATAGGGTGAGCATTGGGTTTCTTAACTAATTTTACAGAGCAGTGCGCAGAGGCCTTCTGCACTTTGTTAGTTGCTGGATACCTCGATGTGTGGCTTCCCAAGTGTCTCCCAGGGGTAACAGTGCTGCCTTCAGGGCCCAGGACCCTTCACACCTCACCAGTGTGGACAGTCAGTGCCCCTTGCCCTCTGAGCCTAATTGATTTTTATGCATCACACAGATTGATTTGACATGTAATTAAATTAAAATGAGCACTTTACTAAACATTGAACAACAGACTGGGTGTGGTGGTGCAAACCTGTGATCCTAGCACTAGGGAGGCTGAGACAGAAGGATCACCGTGAGTCCATGGCCATCCTAGGCTACATAGCAAGATCCTATCTCAAAAGACCAAAAAAAAAAAAAAAAGACAAAGGAAAAAAGTGTTGGTGTTTTTAAAAAATTGTATTCCTGAGGGGCTGGGGATTTAGCTCAGTGGCAAAGCGCCTGCCTGGCAAGCGCAAGGTCGTGAGTTCGGTTCCCAGTACCGGAGAAAAACAAAAAAAACAAAACAAAAAAAATAAAAAAAAAAAAAATATAAAAAAAAATAAAAAATTGTATTCCTGGCCAGGTATGGTGGCACATTCCTGTAATCCTTACTACTCAGGATGCTGAGGCAGGAGAATCAAAAGTTTGAGGCTAGCATGAGCAACATAACAAGGTTATATATCAAAATTTAAAAATTAAAGGGCTGGGATATAGCTCAGTGTGAAGTTCAACTCCCAGGACCAAACAAATAAATGAATGAATGAATGAATGATAATAGATAGATAGATAGATAGATGGATGGATGGATAGATAAATGGCATTCATATATTCCAGGGAGGCATTTGGCTCTCCTGTGTGTGTGTGGCTGATGGGAATTTAAATGGTGCAGCTGCTTAGAGTAGAGTTTGGACAGAACTCAGAAAGTTAGCTGGAAGCCGAGTGTAGTGATATGTACCTGCGATCCCAGCACCCTGGCTCTGGGGTCAGTTCCCAGGATTGCCAGAAAAGGAGGAGGAGGAGGAGGAGGAGGAGGAGCAGCAGCAGCAGCAGCAGCAGCAGCCTTTGGGTGTAGTGACACACACTTTTGTAATCCCAGCACTCTGGGAGACTGAGGCAGAGGATTGCAAATCCAAGCCTAGCTTAGGTGACTCAGAGATTAGACTGTCTGAAAATAAAAAATGATGAAGATCTGAGGATGTAGGCTAGTGCAGAGGCCTTGGGTTCAATCCCCAGTACTACACAAACAGAATAGTTAAGCATGGCATGGGCCTGTAATCCTGGCACTCTGAGAGGCTATGGCAGGAGATACAGATAGAAAGTAAATAAAGACAGAAGGAGAAGAGAACTCAGCAAGGGCTGAGGAGGTGAATGAGGAGCTCTTACTTACTCGGTAGAGCTGATGTTTAGGAGGCTGAAGAGGCTCTGAAAACAGTGGTGAAAGTGCTACAGCGTGGTACATATACCTCATGCCGCTGAATTGTATACTGAAGTAGTTAAAATGGTAAATTTTAGGTTGGTAGGTGTTTTACCACCAAAAACAGAAAAGAAAATATATATGTCTGAAACATACCCATTTTGAACTAGATGTGGTGGTGATGTATAACTAATTCCAGGATTCAGGAGACGAGGCAGGAGAATTGTTGTGAGTTCAAGGCCAGCCAAGACTACACAGTGAGACCCTGTCTCAAAAAAAAAAAAAACGAAAACAAAACAGCTGGGGCTGTAGCTCAGCAGTACAGCACCTGCTTGGCAAACACAAGGTCCTGAGTTTGATTCCCGGGACCAAAAAACAACAAACAAAAAAACCCTGCCCCATTTTTGTATCTGTGTTCAAATCTTACTGTATTGGCTCTGTTCTCTTTTTTGGTTTCACTTTTGATTGTTTAATTAGTGCCCATTTGCAGCACTTCATGACCCCATGGCTTGCGGGCTGCTGGCACCTGTCCACAGTGGTCCCAGTCTCTCACATCCCCCTCTGTGGTCATAGTCCTCAAGGGAGCCTCTTAGCCTGGGCTTGGTGTGTTTGCACTGGTGGATGGATTTCAGGCAGATTCCACTGGTTTTTGCAGAGTTGAGAACACTACTTCCAGTGGTTTTTTTTTTTTTTTTCTTACCTGAATTTATTAAAAATTTTGCCCAGCACTCTGGAGGCTGAGGCAGGAAGATCGGTGGAAGTTTGAGGCTGGCCTGGACTACATTGTAAGTTCAAGGCAGCCTGTGCTACACAGTGAGACCCTGTCTCAAGAAAACAAAAAAAGGGCCAGGGATATAGCCCAGTATAGCTCAGCGGCACAGCACCTGCCTGGCAAGTATGAAGTTATGAGTTTGATTCCTGGTTAAAAAAAAAAAAGAAAGAGAAAGAGAAAAGAAAAAGAAACCAAAAAAGAAGAAGAAGAAGAAGAGGAAGAAAGAAACTTTGGCTGTGGGTGGATCAGAGAGAAGTCATGTAAGGGCTGGGCTGGGCTGGCAGTGGTAAAGCGCCCTGCTTAGCATGCTCGAGACCCTGGGTTCCATCCTCAGCACAGAGAAGGAACCCAGAAGCCACAGCAGGAAACCGGGCCCTTTGACTTCGTGAGCCCTCCAGGAAAGCTTGCCTCTGGCAAACCCCAGGCGGGAGGCAAGGGGAGGCGAGGGGTGCCCAGCCCAGGCTGGCTGGCCCTTGCTGTGTTCCAGTTTCTGCCTATGGGAATCTGTTTGGGACCCAACTGCAAGTGGAAAACCCATCTCTGGCTGAGCAGCCAGGCGAGCGCTGCTGCCAGCCTCCAAATGTGCTGCTGAAACCTGGGCCCACGCAGTAGAGCTGGGCTGCTTCCTGGATCCCAGCAGCTGTCAAGGTGGTGGGGATGGGACTGGGACCAGCCTCTGTCTACACTGCTGTTGGGCAGTGACCTTGAGACCCAGCGGTGGCCCTGGTCCTTCGCTGCTGCTGTCACAACACCAGGGGCTAACGGGAGGGAGACTCCTGACTTGCCTTTCCCAGGGGCCGCCGATATTAGCCACGACGCCTGCCGCCTGCATGGAGTGTCCCCTCGGCAAGGGAGGGTGGCTCTGGTTGCCCGCCAGGCTGCATCTTGGGACCTGCTTGGGTGGCTCTGGGGGGCACTGAGAGATGCTCAGTGATGATCTTGGGAGAGGGAGATGCCGGTGGATTCTGCCTCTGGCCAGGCAGGGATTTCTCTGCGAAATGAAAGTGATGGGAAGTGTCCCTAGCAAGACAGAAATCCCTTGTCTCCCGCCACTTGGTGGCAAGTGTATTTTGAAAACTCCACCCCTTCTCCTTGTCCTCAGCCTGTCCTTTCCTCGTAAGTGGCTTTATTGTTATTTTCTAATCCGCCTTTGTCATTGGACATTTACTGACAGAAATCAAATTGCTGTGCTTCCAGGCGAAGCGCCTGCTGCAGAGCAGTGTGATTTGGAGGAATGAGACACGCAGCCCAACAGCTGAGCCTTACTGTCCTCACATAACCTCCCTGCCTTAAATATCGCCAATATTTCGCCTTGCCTTATAAAGTAAAAATGCACAATACCTTCCAGAGTTTCAGCGAGCCTCAAGGCCCCCCTGGGCTCCGTGACAGCTCCTGTGTGGTGCAGGCAGAGCGGCGTCCCCTCCCCCAGGCGGACCTGCCCTGGCCGCCACCCAGAGGTGACTAATCAGGGAGACTCCGCCATCGATCCGCTGGCCACCTGGGGGATTGGCGTGCATTGTTTTGGCTGAAGCCTCCTGTGATTTTGCCGCGACCAGATCCTCTGCGGAGAACTCCATGTCACAGCTTGGGGCTGCCTGTGTCCTGTGGCGAGAGCCAGCCGCACAGGAGATCCTTTGTCTAGGAAGGGCTAGGCTGAGAAGATCACTTTGGAGTTGCTAAGCTCTGCATTGCCATTGGCTGCACCGTGTAGGGCTGTTTTTGCAAAAGGCATGCCCAGCACGTCTACAGTGCTGGCAGGCCAGGGCTGCCTTCAAACACCATGATAATAACAGCAGAGCAGTTTGCAGGGCTGTTCCACTACCGAGGCTTCCTCTGCAGAAGCAAGATGGCTACCTCGTGGCTTCGCCGAGAAGAGTGCAGAGGCTAATTAGACAGACTAAGGGAGAGAAGGGTGTTTCCCTCCCTCGTCTTGATGCAAGGTTTTTTTTCAGTGACTTTTAAAGTATACATTTTACATAAGCTCTTTAGGTTCTGCCTAGAAACATGTTGATGATTTAAGATGGCATAAGTAGTTTTACAGAGAAATAGCCAAAAAAAATTTTGGGGGGGTGGTAGGAATGGGAGCTTTTTTCTTTTTTTAAATGGAGGCTCATTTTCCATTTTTATTATTTTTTTTTTTAGGTTATAAAAGAAAACAAGAGGCCCCAGAGGGAAAAGAAGCCCAAAGTTTTAAAGGTAATCAGCTGTTGATTAAATGCTATTTAATTTTTTTCCATTTTCATATAGTATTTTTCTGTCACCTGAGGTTAAATTTGGACTATAGTGGATGTGAATGTTCCCAGATTCTGAGTAGATAGACAATTTTCACTCAAATAAAGTGTTTCTCTTTTTTTAATATTCTGCATAATGTGCATATTAGCATCCTTTATTTTCAACTCCACACCAGTCTGAAGAAGGAAAAGTTTATATGCAAAGTGTTGTGAATGAAATTAATTTTTCCTTCCAGCTCTCTTTGTAACATATGCATCTGTGGCGTTGCACCAGTGTGCACTTCAGCTTTTTAGGAGAAAGGTATTATTTGAAGTTGACAGCTAGGATCCATTGTGATTTTAATAGACCCTCCACTAAGTACTATTTTTGAAATGTGTGATTTTTTTCCCCCCAAAGAAAACAAGGTCCTTAGAAATATTAGTTCAGTTTGAGATGTATAAGTCATTGAGATCTTACAGCCAAACTGTAATGGCTTATTCCCAAATTCTCACTATGTCACCTTTAGTTTTGACATTCCTAGAGCTGTAGGAATGAGGATGTTTTCTTTATTTCCCTATTTGCCTATGATGAGCATGTGGCAATAACCTAATTTGGCTATATGCTAATAGCAGTATGTGTTATGACCTTTGTACAGTATTTGAAGGGTTCACTTAAAAGCCTATGGCATCACTAAAAGTTCATTGCTGGCTTTATTCTGGCAAATAGGTCCTTCTGTGCTTCAGGTTTCAGGTGGCATGTTGCTATTACAAATGTAAGCACCCTGAGCAATGGTGAATTAGAGGACTAGCAAGCAATCACACAACTGGCCTGTACAATTACATTGTGTGCGTTTCACTTAAGATATTTGCACCTAATTATAGCTTTTCTTTTGCAAATAAACTTTTAACCCTCAGAGAGGAGCAGCATGTTGAACTATGGCTGTGAATGTGGCAGAATTTTATCTCGTTTGTTCCCCAAATTGTGTAACTGGAACATGTTGACACTGAGAACCAAACCTTGCATTGCCCCCTGGTTTGGGTGGCTGCTGCGGGCCTCTGCTTCCTGCCTGTGCACAGAATTGCCATGTAGAGTTTCCACCAACCCACGAGTATTTACTGACTGTTTCTCACACAGTCAGCGGTGTGCTAGGTGCTGTGAAATGAATGAAAATGCCTGGTACAAATTCTCATGGGGCCTGGGCAAATAAATAGTAGTGATTTTCAAGATACATTAAACCATTTTTCTTCTTCATACTGACCCATCCACCTCCTTTTTACATCCATCCCTTCCCCCAAACCTAGAAGAATGTGCTTAAAAACCCAGTTTGTACCTTCTTCTGTACTTTCTGTATTAGATGTGTCCGGCTCAGACCTAAAATGCTTTAAGTGAGAAATAGTTTCAGTGCTGCTGCTGTGTGTAAATGGCTCTTCAGTTTGGAGGCAGGATGTGAGAGAGAGAAACGGGCCACATACAGAGACTGAAAGATGTGAATCCCGGTGTTACATCTCTCACCTTTGCTAAGAAATAGGCTTGGAGGGTGCTGTTTATCCTTATGTTTATTTTGTTAGCCTGTGTGGGTCCTGTCACCTGAAATACATTTCAGAAGTAAATATACCGTGTGTTGGTTTTGGGAACCACGGCAGCAGGGACTGTGGCTGTTTTTTTGAAGTAAGCGCTTGTGGGTGGCCGGATTCCCTCTGCCCTGCGAGCCAGACTCAGTCAGGGCTGACTTTCCATCTGTCCTTACTAATTGTCCTACAAGACTAGGAAAATACTCCAAAAGGAAAAATGAATTGTTTAATGTTAGCATTTAAAGTTTTTAAAAAATTGTGTTAGATAGTAATTCTTTTCCCTCTTCCAAAGAAAACTTTCTCTTCTACATAGTACAAATGTTTAAAAACTTTCAGATTTTAAGTTTAGCTGTGTAAAGTTCACCTGGAGCAGATGTAGAATAGTATAGAACCCTAGAAGAGGTGCTAAGTGTGTTTTGGGAGGGTGAGAGGAGAGTGCAACTTTCGGCTTGGGGCCGCCCAGGTGAAGCCTTGCCTTAAAGGGTCTCACTTATGTTTATTTTGTTCTCCCCCAAGGGATCTACTCAGTGGGTTTCCTTTGTTATTCTCTGTCTCTATCTCTTTACTGGGCCTTGTGGCAGAGACCTTGTTCCTCTCCTTTGATGCTGGACTCTTAGGTCTTCAATCTCGCGAGTCCCCTTGCTAGGATGGATGCTTCGATTTTTCACCTTCACCCTTGGTTAGGAAACAGATGAGTGCACAACATGATGGGGGATTGGTGTGGAACTGGAGGCTTCTTCCGTTCTGCTCTGAGCCTTGCCAGTACTGTGTCCAGTTGCAGGGCTGCAGTTTATCTCACATCTCCCCTCTAAAGAGAGGCTGTTACCCACCCTGATGCTCATACTCCTTCCATCCCTTCAGAACTTCCCAGGTGTGATTAGTGATCTCAAAGCCCGTACTAGAGTCACCCTGCGCTCAAGTGGCAGTTGCTGAGGCACTTCAGTGGCCAGAATGGGCACATGGTGGCGGGTGGCCAGGTTGTGTGGGGCTGCTCAGCACAGCTGCCCAGCAAGACCTGCTGGTGATCACCAGTTATTGTCACACATAGATGGCAATTCGAGGCTGAGGTGGAGTTGCCCCAGGGGTGTGAACTTAGGCTTCTAAGCGGGACATAGTTTACACTTTCTCTAGGAAGAAACAATGATGTAAATGTTTTCCCACCTTGTGTGTGTGGCCCAGGTGCGGCGAGTAGGGGAGGGTATCTCCTTAGTGAGAGCCAATTTCAAGGTGTTGTTTGTTGGCTGAGAGTGTAAATCTTGGTCCCTGTAGAAAATCAGATAACATTGTCAGTTGGGTGTTTGAGCACAGTTTCATAAAGGAGTTAAGGAAAGCCTAGCAATGGCTTAGGAACCCAGGGGTAAGGAAGGCAGAGAGCCCTTTCCAGTCCTAGGGCTGAGGCCTGTGGTGGCCGGGAGCTCAGGTGCAGGGTGGTAGGAGGTGACTACACTGAATGTTGAATGTTTCTGTGTGACAACAATTGAGGCACATTGCCATTAGTGCCCCTGACATGCTGCCCCTTGCTTCAAACACACTTGTCCCATCGTTCTTGCCACTCTGAAGCAGCTCTGGAAGTCTGCTTTTGGGAGTGTCTTTACCAGGTCTAATGAAAATACAGCAAATGTAGCTGCCAAGTTCCATCCAACAGAAAGGCAGGCCCTAAAAATATTCTGCTGTGTTGTCATCCACCTTCTGTGCCTGGCCTGCCACTGTGCAATCCCAGCCTTCCCCAAAGTCAAAATGCTCTTGAAGGGTAAGTGTTTTGAGTTGATTCAGGACATTGAGGCAGTTTCAACCTTAAAGCAAAAGACAGTCAAGAAAGAGGACTTCCAGAGCTGCTTCTGAAAGAGTCGAGAGCAGCGGGATGAGTGGGTTTGGAGTGAGGAGGAGTAATCCCAGGTTGACTAAGGGCAATGTGTCTTCTACTGTAATGATTTTGTTTTTTAATAAAAAGGAAATTGTCACGGTATTTTGGATCCTAACTTGTAGTTGCATAGGGTCAGCAGGGGCTGAGCTGCAGCCATAGATAGAGGTTCCTGCAGGGAGGCATGAGGGTGTGATGGGCTCCCTGCTTCTGAGCTCCTGCCGTTTTCCTAGGCTGACCCAAGCCAGAGGTCAGGGAAGAGGAAGTGTTCTGATGAAACACCTCCTGGTCCATGTGGTGTGGTGTAGAAGGTGGCCTGTGGACCTGGGAAGGTTAGTAACGCCTGTTCAGTATCACTAGTACCAACAGGGGCTGTCTTGTAGGGTCAAAAACAGTCATAGAGCTGGATGTGGTGGCACACACTTGTAATCCCAGCATTCTGGGAGGCTGATGCCAGGAGGATTGCAAGTATGAGCCCAGCTTGTCCAATTTACCAAATTAGTGAGACCCAAAATTAGCGAGACTGTGTCTCAAAATAAAAAATAAAGAAAGGGCTAAGGTTGTAGCTAAGAGTGAAAGCTTTGGGTTCAGTCCCCACCACTGCAATAAACAAAGTAAAAATTTAAAAAAGAGACCAGATGTGGTGGTTCATACCTGTAATCCCAGCACTTTGGAGGCTGAGGCAGGAGAATCACTGTGAGTTTGAGGCCAGCCTGGACTACATACTGAGTTCAATGCCAGCTTAACTACAGAGTGAGACTCTGTCTCAAAACAAAACAAAACAAAGTATCAGAACTAGGAGTAGGAAGATGGTAACATCAAATGAGGTTGGGTGAAGGTTACAGAAGAGCTCTATACTCCTACAACTCACCGGTACATGTTCATCTACAGTCGTTTCACAATAAAAAGTATACGCACCAGGCAAGGTGGCGCATGCCTGTAATCCCAGCACCCCGGAGGCTGAGGCAAGGAGGATCACTGTGAGTTGGACTACAAAGTGAGCTCAAGGCCAGCCTGAACTGCATAGCAAGACCTTGTCCCAAAAAGACCGGAAAAAAAAAAAAGTATAGGCATCCTTGGGTGGGTGGGGTTGCACATTCCTGCATTCTGTACTTAGATTCTCGCTCCTTTGACCACTATGGGACACTTTCTAAGCATTTGGTTGTAAAATGTCATCACAGTAGTACAGTATCGGGAAGAACTGGGTGAACAAATATAAAGAAGTGTCAGTGGGTGTTAAACCAGGAATTTGTCTACAGGGGCCAATTGTAAAAAGAAAAACTGGAAACTTGAAGCGATGCAGCTGCAGGGCTCGGCTGTGGCAGCCCTGCTCTGCTCTTTGCTTCCTTCCTTTCTTGATGATGCTGATAGAGCGAAGAGCAAGTGGTGGGCGGTGCTGGCAGCATGGGGCCTGTGTGTCACTGCGGCAGCAGAGGACAGAACACTTGTATGTAGCTGTGCTTACATGTGTGCCTGAAGCAAGTAAACCACATAAGGGTCGTGATAGACTTTTCTTTTCTCTCTCTCTCCCTTTTTATTTTGGAGACAGGGTC